TCTGATAACCTTCTGTGGTGGCATAACTGGCTGGGTAGATGAGGCAAGAGCAATGGATGTTTTCTACCTTGGCTTGAGCAAGGCTTTTGACACTGTCTCCCATAACCTGTCCTCTGAAGGTCCCTTTCAACCCAAGCATTCTATAATTCTGTAACATCCTCATAGGGAACGTGGGGTACATAGCTTGGCCGGACACCTCCCAGCAAGGCCCAAGTCTGCTGTAGTTGAGCACTCGACACAGGGCGGATTTGGAGAGCAGTGACAAATTTGCTTCCTTGTTTTTTACAGCGAGAAATCTGTGCGTGGGAATATTAGGTAACTTGCCTGGAGTTGCACACAGAATCTGTGGAAGAGCCACGAGGATAAATCAGACTTTCCAAATTATAATCCTGTGGCATAAATCTGAGGCTGTCTCAAATGTGAGATTGACCAGTGCCTGAGGAAATACGCCTTTAAAATGCATCTTTGATGGGCTTGTACCTGCTGTTTGGCTTTGTGTAAAGGATAGAGTTTCATGCTGAGTTTTCATGTCTTGGTTCACCATCCAAATTACGTGCTGGCACAGAAGGCACTGCTGCTCTGAGCAGCTGACAGAACTGGAGCAGTGATAACTAGACATCTTGCCATCATTTTGCTTTGCAAAAATAGTGACCAGCTTTGGCCAGACTTCAGATTCCAGTAACTGTTTCCAGCAAGCTCTGTGGGCTGTTCTGGAAAAGCACCTTAACCGTTTCGGGTCCCATTGGATTGAGTAGGAGCACTCAGCCTGAGTGGTTGAAGATGCTGACAGACAAAGGGTTAAGGCATTTATTACCAGGCTCTCTTAGGCAAAGAGAATTAACAGATGAAAGTGAGCCGCTTGCCTTTATTTTTTGTATGTGAGTAACCACATCATCCTCACCCGCTGCGTTTCAAGGCAGAGCCTAATTGGCAGGTGAACTGAGCAGAGCCCTGTAGCCAACCGAGTTTCCATTTTACTGCTTTCGTATTTTAAAAGCTTTTCTGTTCTCAACAATTGTGTCTTTTTCTGTATTTTAAATGTTAAGTATGCTCTCATGAATGCAAAGCCTATCAAAAGTAATCTGGTTTGAAACTAAAAATAAACTGTTTTTCATGGCAAACATGGGCCTTTTTTGACACAATTTTGATTTGCAAAGAAATTGGGTGCCTCTTGGAGAGGTGGGGAAGGAGGAGTGTCCCTGCTTCCTTTCTGCATCCTCTAGTGCTAGCCCCTGCTTAGCTGCATAGCTCTCTCGGAGGTTTGCGCTGCATGTCACCACGTCTACCTCCTGCGCTCGTCTCAATGGATTTTGCCAACTGAGATGTGCTGGGTGAGGCCATGGCTCAGGAAAGCTGAACTTACCACGCTGCTAGGGCTTCCCGGTGGTAAACCTCCAAAAGCTTTGCTGCGACAGAAGATGGAGGTGTTGAATGGCGAGAGGGACCCTCCTAGAGCCTGTGTCAAGCCATGATTTAGAAAGTATCATCAGACACTGTTGCTTTTGTTCTGCTGTGCTGGCAACCAAATTTTGGGACTCTCCTAGATAAAACTTTTTAGTGAAAAATGACACCGTGGGCCATCTTTAAATCATCTGCAAATGGTGAAGCACATTGCCATCTGTTAGGATATGCTGAAGGAGTGAGGTCTCTTGTCTCTTAAACTAATATAAAGAATTAGAAGTATATTGGAGTGGAGGCTGAAACCCTGTAATCATCTCTCAACTAGATATTAAAGCTGGCCCTGCTCTCGCTTGGGTGGAGTGGACCAGAAGACAGAATCACAGAATATTAGGGGTTGGAAGGGACCTCTGGGGGTCACCCAGTCCAACCCCCTGCCGAAGTAGGGTCACCTACAGCAGGCTGCATAAGACCTTGTGCAGGAAGGGCTTGA